GATATATATTCAAAGAACAGTTATTCAAAGAACTCTTAAAACTTAAATAAGAAAACAAACATTCCAATTAAAAAAATGAGCCAGAGACATTAACAGGTATTTCACCACAGAAGATACACAGATCACAAGTAAGTATCTGAGAAGATGCACCATATCATTTGACATCAGGAAAAGGCTAAGTGACATGATGAGATACCACCTTATACCTATTAAAATGGCCTAAATCTAGAACCCTGATGTCAAATGCTCCACACTGGTGAGGATGTGGAGCAACATGAAAGCTCACACTTTGCTAAGGTGAGTGCAAAGCAGTGAGCCCACCTTGAAAGACAGTTTGGTGGCTTCTTACAAAATGAATCACATTCTTAACATACAACACAGAAATTGCTCTTCTTGGACTTAGTAAAAGGAATAGAAAAATTATGCCCATACAAATACCTGCACAAGGATCTTTATTGCACATTTATTGCCAAAACTTGGAAGTAACCAAGATGTCCTTCAAGATGAATAAACTGTGGTACACCCAAACATTAAAATATTATTTAGCACTAAAAAGAAAGGCATGAAAAGACATGGAGGGAACTTGGCGGAATGAGGCTAAGTGAAAGAAGCAAACTGGAAAAGGTTACATACTATGACTCCAATCATATGACATCCTGGAAAAGGCAAAACATGTAGACAATAAAAAAGCTTAGTGTTCGCTTGAGTAAGGGAGGTGGAGAGAGAGATGAACAGGCAGATGACAGAGGATTTTCAGGGCAATGAAAGTACTCTACATGATGCTATAATGATGAACATACATCACTGCACATTTGTCCAAACCCATAGAATGTACACTAGCTAGGGTGACCCTAAGGTAAAGTATGGATTTTGGTTGATTATGATGTTTCTTTGTAGGTTCATCCTTGATAAAAAACGTAACATTCTAATGAGGTGAGGTTGATAATTGGAGAGACAAAGCGTGTGGGATAGAAAGTATATGGGAAATCTCTGTATTACCCTCTCAATTTTGTTGGAAACCTAACACTACTCTAAAAAAATAAAGTCTCAAAAAATAATAGCAAATTCTGGAAAAGATGTAAGCACACTGGATTTCTCACATATTGATAGTGGGAATGTAAGATGGCAAGTCACTTTGGAAGGTAGTTGACAATTTTCTAAAAAGCTAAACATAGATTTATGATACAACTGAGCAATTGCACATGGGCATTTGTGCCAGAAAAATGAAAATTGACATCTACACAAAAATTTGTATACAATTGTTCATAGCAAATTTGTAATCACCAAACATGGGAACAACTAAAATGCCCTTTATTTTTTTTATTTTTTTAAAGATTTATTTTTCATTTTTACAATAGCTGGGGTACAGGCCAGAGGTGCAGGAGAGTTGAGAGGATTCACCAGAGACAGAGTTGGGAACAGAACAGGCAGACAGGCAGAAACACACTGCTGAGGGGAGCAGTGGGCATGAAAGAAGAGGTCTGCAGCGCCATGTGGGAATCTCCCTGGCTGGCCAGGAATTGAACCCTTGCTGCAGAGGCTGCAGACAGTTTCACAGCGCTGTGCTCAACCTGCTGCGCCACCGGGGAGGCCCTAAAATGTCTTTTAATAGATGAATATATTAAATAAATCATAGTACATTTATAATGGAATACTGTTCAGTAGTAAAAGGGGATAAACCATTGATAAAAGAAATAACTTGAATGAATCTCTAGTGGGAAAAAAAAGGCCATCTCAAAAGATCACATACTGGGGCCTCCCCGGTGGCGCAGCGGTTGAGCACTGGGCTGCAAAGCTGCCCGCAGCCTCTGCAGTGCCAGTTCGATCCCCAGCCACTGGCGAGGGTCCCACATGGCGCGCAGACCTCTCCTGCCGCCCGCTGCTCCCCTCAGCAGTGTACTTCGGTCCTTCCGCCTGTTTTGCTTCCCGGTCTGGCTCTGGTGAATTCTCTCACCCTCCCTTGCTTCTGACTGTACCCAGTGCTTGTACAAATAAATAAATAAATAAACAAATAAATAAAGATCACATACTGTATGGTTTCATTTATATATATTTTCTAAGTGACAAAATTAGAAACAGATTAAGTGGCTTTTGAGGTTAGGAATGGTGTTGGGAAGAAAGTGGGTATGCCTATGAGAGGAAGGTTTGAGGAAGTACTTTGTGGAGATGGAAGCCTTCTGAACCTTCACTGCAGTAGTGGTTATACAAATCTATACTTATGATAAAATGTCACAGATAAAACCACACACAGCCTACCAAGGTCAATTTTCTGCAGATACATAAGGTGGAAAACTGTGTGAAGAGCCTCTCAATTCTATTTCTGAAACTTCCTGTCATTATTTAAAAAACACTATTGTGGAGAAACTGCAGACAAAGGTGACAAATGACTTAGAAATTCAAGAGACCCCAATATGTTAGGTCTTTACAGTTTGAAAGTGAACACTTTCCTAACCAATAAAGCATGATATTTGTTTTAACCCACCTGAGGCAAATATATGAATTTATCTAATAATCTAGAGTGCAAACTTATGATTTTTAATTTGTATAAATGACCTAAACTCCTGTTTATAGCAGTAACCATCACAACTTTTTTTTCTTTTCTAGTCAATTACTCAGTGAAACCAGTGACTTTTGTTTCTGGTCTAGCTCCCTACCCCCTGGCAAGTAAATCAGCCTGGGCTCACCACATCAACCACTGTAGTGGCCATCAATTTCTTTCACCATAACAAAATATTTGAAGCATCTGATGACTCTCATGCCCTATCTTAATAAATGGGGACTTTAGTTTCCAGGTGCTAGGCTGAGTCCAGAGTTGGAGGAGGATGGATTATGGGTATCAGTGAGTGCAACTACAGCAAAGCCCAAGGACAGTACCCAAGGAAACCCAGAATATCAAAGGACAACATGGCAGCAAAAAAGTGAAGTCAATAGGACTGGACAGAGGAGTAGAAGCCGAAGAAAAATGTGGCAAAGGAATAAACTGTATTTATTTAATATAAAATAAATTAAATATCATGACACGTGAAATATGATTAGGAGAGTAAGACTGAAGGAAAGACATACAGATTACAATATCCAGTATAATCATAAAAATTTGGGCTCCACATGTGGCTTTTTTGCTTCTTGGTGTTAAAGCACAAAAGGAAACAAGGTCACATTCAAAGTGTACATCGTCTCCTTGGAGCAATAAGCTGGGAAAGGTTTATTTTGGAAGGTTCCATTGAGAGGATGAATTTATGCAGTGTTTTCAGGAGAGGAAGGATGCAGTTTGGTAGAAAGAATATGTTTTTCATCAGCATCATCAACCAGAGGCAAATACAGCTTTGGGAGGTTTAACAGAGGCTTTCAAATTGCATCCCCAATGACTGTGGGTCAGCCTCCTGGGGATGTGGCCTTCTGTTGAGAATTCTGCTACAGTGCACTGTGTTGTTAATGAGATTATACTAATGGGAGTGAACGGGTGAGTCTTTCAAGTGTGTTGGAAGGAGTGGTAGGATTACACCTGTTCTAGCTAAAGTGGGTGGAATGAGTCATTAATTTATCTACTTAATTCCAAAAACATTCAGCCTAGGCCACGTACAAAGGTAACACGAGACAGAAAAACGAAAAATGTATTGTGTTGGAGAATATATCAGAATGAGGTACTGCTGCATGCATGCCACACACTGTGTTAGGGGTTTCAAAAATATTATATTATTTAATCTTCATAACATTGTGAAGGACGAGTAAGGTGCATTTCATAGATGAGGAGACTGAGATTACAGAGATTAAGTAATTTGCCCAAAGGAACACAATTATGGAGTACCAGGATAGAACAAAACTCAGAGGATTTCTATATCTAAGCCAACCTGCTTGTACTCTACATTTTCAGAGCCATCCCCTTCTGAGGGGAGGAACACCTCAGTGAACAACTCAGGTTGGGGGGGGCACTATTATCACTGAATTAAGTGTAAATGGTGCCCCTGGAGCACAAATGAAGAGAGAAATCAAAATGGTTTGATTAAAACACTCACTCAATGGGTTTATGGCCTAATTATGTGATATAGATCAGTGTATGCACATTCCATCAATCATCAAAAGAGGTAGAAAGAATTAATTCGGGCAGGATTGGGGGTATATTGATAGATCTGGGAAGGTGTAGAAAAGTGACATTTGGGTTCAGAAGGGCATATGAGATTATGACAGTCACTGTGTGGGAGAGGCATTTATCTGGAGAGACAGTGGTATATTCTGTAAGGCCTTATTCCAAAAACATTAGCACAATCTAGCTGGACAAGATCACTGAGTGATAGGAACAGAAAGGGATAGATTTGAATTCCAAGCATATACTTTTATCAGTATCACTTCAATTCTGTATGCTACCTCATGGTCTCAGTCAAAATCATAGAAAGCTAAAACTGCTCAGGAGAGTTACACTGTAACATTAGTGTATAAAATCCTACCTACCATTTCAGTAATTTAAAACCTCAAAAAATGAGGAGGGAGTGGGAAGTAGCACTGGGTCTCTGGAATTAATTATCCTCTTTTCTTCCTAATCCACCTCCGTTTACTCCTCCATCTTTGACATATCAGCCTTTTCCTCCAATGGCTTGTTAGTGCCAATTCAGGGGAAATAAAGGGATATAAAGTTTTTTTGCAGCTCTAAGAATCTAACTTGGTGAGAATAAGGGCTTGCTTGGTTCATAGCAAAGACATATCTCAGATTCTTTCTGGCCTACTTTTAGACATTTCTACCTCAGACCCCTTAGATACACTGATAACTGCTAGGTTGGATCTGGGCATAACAACTTGCACACAAACTACACAGAGATTGTAGAAGTGAAATGAGAATGATCTCAACTATCATTAGGCCTAGAGATTTGGGAAAATGAAGAAATGTGTTCCAAGTTGACTGCTGTTTCAGAGGAGATTTAGACATCCTAGTCCTGAACTCCGCTCCTCCTCTGCCTACAAAGATGATGATGAGTTGCTACCACCCCACCCAGTCCTGCCCACTATGACATGCTGCCCCACCCAGCCCGAGATGAAAGGTCCAGCTACCTGTGGAGAACTCAGTGAGCAAGGAGTTATCTTTTCTGAAAGTACTGACATTCAATTGGAAATCTTGGCTGAGAGCAGAAGGAATCACAGTTGGGGAAAGAAGGGTGAGCTCAGAGGGCATGCTCATAAATGCGGATGCCTTGTGTGTTAAGGCAAATGGTGGGGGGTTGGGGGTGTGGAGGAATGAAGGGAGAGAGATGAAAAAGGAAGTGGGAGAGCCATGAAAAGAGTTGAATTAAAACAAAAATATTTCAGGGAGAAGAGATAAGAAGGGAGAATGGAATGAGAAAAAATGGAGTGTTGATATTCTATTTCTCATAGATTGGTTTCAGCCCTAAATTTTAATTTTGGTGCTATGGCTAGGAGATGCCATCTCAGAGCTTGACATTTCTTCCTTTCAGTGATTGTATCTTGCTATTTATGCTGTTATTTCAGGATCATTTCAGCCTGTAATATCTACAGCTTGTTAGAAAGTAGGATGACAATAGGCTAACAGACATCTGGCAGCCAACATTTTGGCTATTATTTTATCTTTTTTAATTTCTCTGAGGTCAGGGTTAGAAATAACTCTCATTGCAGCTTGACCACCACCTCACACCATGCATAAAAACCAACTCAAAATGGATTAAAGAACTAGACATAAGAACCGAAACCATAACATATAGGAAAGAAAACTTAGGCGAAACACTACATGACATACACCTTAGCAACATCTTTAAAGACACATCACCCAAAGCAGTGATAGTGAAGGAAAGGATAAACAGCTGGGACCGCATCAAATGAAAGAGCTTCTGCACAGCAAAAGAGACAATAACCAAAACAAAGAGACAACCCACTGATTGGGAGAAAATTTTTGCACACAATACTAATGATAAGGGACTGATCACAAAAATCTACAAAGAGCTGATAAGACTCAACAAAAACAAAGTAAATAATCCAGTCAAAAAAGGGCAGAAAAGCTAAAAAGAAACTTCTCCAAAGGGGAAATGCAAATGGCCAAGAGGCATATGAAAAAATACTCAACATCACTTGTAATCAGGGAAATGCAAATTAAAACCACAATGAGATACCATCTCACACCAGTGAGAATAGCACATATTAAAGAAACTAGCAACAACAAATGTTGGTGAGGATGTGGAGAAAAAGGAACTCTCCTGCACTGCTGGTGGGAGTGCAAACTGGTGAAACCACTATGGAAAGCTGCCTGGAGGTTCCGCAATCTGCTGAAAGATGGAGCTACTATATGATCCAGCAATTCCACTCCTAGGTATTTACCTAAAGGACACAAAATCTTTAATTCAAAAGGGCACCTGCACCCCTATGTCTATAGCAGCACTATTTACAATAGCTAAGCTTTGGAAACAATCCAAATGCCCAAAAACAGATGACTGGATCAAGAAGATGTGATACATATACACAATGGAATATTACTCAGCAATCAAAAAAAGATAAACTCATGCCATTTGCAGCAACATGGATGGAGCTGGAAGGGATCATGCTCAGAGAAATAAGCCCAAAAGAAAAAGAAAAATACCGGATGGTCTCACATATAGCAGGAATATAGAGGATCCAAATAAGGGATCAGGAAAAAAAAACTAATTATAATAAAGTAAAAATCAAAATCAACAGGCAACTATAAATTAGAGACACACTACAGGGGGGAGAAGGGAGTAGGATCAAAACACGGGTGGGAAGAGCACAAGGGACCATGGTGATAGTTCATGGGTGAATGGTGGTGGGAATTTTACAAGGACTATAACCAAGATGAAAATGCATACATTGCACAAAAATGAAAAATGATGTAATATGTAAAATAATTAAAAATAAATAAATAGGGCCTCCCTGGTGGCACAGCGATTGATCTTCGCTGGGTTGTGAAGCTGCCCACAGCCTCTGCAGCACCAGTTCGATCCCCAGCCGCCGGGCGAGGGTCCCACAGGGCGCGCAGACCTCTCCTGCCGCCCGCTGCTCCCCTCAGCAGTGTACCTCGGTCCTTCTGCCTGTTCTGCTCCCTGCTCTGGCTCTGGTGAATTCTCTCACCCTCCCGCGCTTCTGACTGTACCCGGTGCTTGTATAAATAAATAAATAAATCTTCTAATAAATAAATAAATAAATAGATAGATAGATAGATAAATAATTTTTAAAAAGGAAATAACTCTCATTGCATTTGTCAAAAGAAGTGAACTTGAGGACGTATAGCACTTTACCAGGGACTGAGCAAATGCAGGCAAAAAAGGGGAAAGGTAGTCAAAGCGTGAAAAACTGTATAAACAAAAAGATGTTTATTCCTATGGGATTCATTTACTGAAGCTTAGCAAATGGTGCATTGATATTGTAAAGAGCGAGTCAAGAAGGCATGGGTTTCTTCTTGGTTCTTTCTTCCCTTGTTAAACAACTTTTTCCCTGGATCAATTACTATGTTGGATATTAGTAGCTTCATTTTCATAGCACGTGTTTTTCCTATTTTAGGTAATCTACAATGGAAGAGGTTGGACAGGAGCCAACAGATGTGTAAGTCACGAGAAGGATAAAGGAGTCAGTAGAGGAGCTACCACAGGAGGAGCCTAGAGCAACAGAGGGAGGGGGCCCTATGTCTTCAGTCGTGGGGAGTCTTCCTGGGGAGAAAGAATTTGGGTTCAGTTCATCAGACTTCATCATACCAGTAATAGTATTTTCAGAAATAGCAAATATTTCAAAAAACCATCAGTCCTTTGTGAGGAAAAGATCCATGCACGGCCCTGGTCCCCCTCTGCTTCATGAACCTATCTTGACTGGGGTAAAAAATACTCAACATGACAAACTCCTTAGGAGATAGTAATGAAAAGAGATGGAAGAATTTGCTCTCTTTTGTAGATCTTTAAATACATTATAGGGGTGGCTTGGATTCAACTTATTCCATAGAAAGTTTTGGAAACAAGTAAGTTAGAATATAATTATTTACATGAATATTTCTTCTGCTTCATAAAAGATTTACATTTTAATGGGTTTCATGGATAATATTTAAAATGAAAATGTGATCCGAGGCCAGGAACTTACTTTACACAATTACTTTTTTGCATAAAGTAAAACATAGGAATCGATAGAATATGGACGACGACAAATGTAGCACTGCTTAGGCACAGTGACAACAGAATGTGGGGAAGTGAATGAGATTACAGGGGCGCGTCATTTTAGGGCTTATTTTTCCATTTTGAGTTTAGTGATGAAGATGATTTTACCGTAGGCATGAGATGATGGAAATACCGAAACTAGAAGTCACAAAAGAGAACTTAAACTCCCTGAACTTGCACCTTGAAAAGGACCTGCAGAGACTGGATGAGGCAAACCAGGTTCTTCTCAGAAAAATTCAAGAGAAAGAAGAAACTATTCAAAGGTCAGGCTGTGCCGTTGTTGAGGCAGGGTTTCTCCTCAGCTGAATGCCCCTTGGGTATATAGGAAGGTGGGAGGGGGAGGTTTACTTACTCGTTGATGAATCTGGGCTTTTACTTTTAATTCTGAAACATGAACTGTGGTGCCCTCAAAAATCTTTATATATTGATTTCTGCATTAAATTTCCACATTAAGTTGACATTTTATTACAACTGCATTTGGTAATTATTCCGGCTCCCTAATACCTTGGCAGTGGCTTTCCAAGCAAGGATTCTCGCAGTTTCCTTGAAACTGATCCACACCTAGGTGTCTGTATTTTTCAGTCTGGAAAGAGAGATTGCTCTGTCAGTAGGACAAGCCGGAGAGAGGGAGGAGTTGGGCCACATTATATCCGAGAAGGAGGAAATCCTGAGGGACCTGGAATTGGAGACAGCAAAGCTGGTAAGGAGGAGTCGAGTAAAGGACCGTCTGATGGATTTTGCTTGCAGTCTGCTGCCCTCTCTTTCCCGGGGGATCATCATCACATGGTCATGGCTTCTGTATCTTTAGAAATCACAGCCGTTGCTGAGAATAAAGCTGCCGGGGGGCAGCTCTGGGCTCTGTTCCCAGATCCTCCGTGGGGGGCAGAGTGCATTTTCCCATTTGATACACTTATCCCTCTATGGTATTTCATGGCCCAGGGAGGGAGGAACAGCAGCAGAGCAGGTTTGTGCCCTTTACCTCTGTCCACAGGAAAAAAGTAACAAGGTTCTAGACAAGAATGTGATGGAGCTTCAGAAAAAGGTAAGATGGGCCCTGGGTTCTCAAGGCCCCCAACAGGAGGCTCATTTCTTAAGACTCTCCATAGACGTCTGAACCCTTAAACTCTCTAGTCAGATAGATGGCGAAGAAGCAACCAGCAAAGTGAGAGTGCTCCCTCCCATGGCTACCTTTGGTATCATTTAGAGCAAAGTCTAATTTGTTCTCTGGGAATTACAGGTATATGGTGAGGGAGCTACAGGACTGTAGAAGGAGAAAACATTTCTCCTTCCCCAACAACATCGCTCCATTTTCTCTTTTCTCTCTCCTCACTGTGGCATAGAATCCATGGGCTGCAGGAACACAGGGTCTGTCCCGCTAGGATGGAGTCAGGCAGCTTCCACAGGGAAAAGGAGACACTCTCCCACCAAATTCCCAAGATCTGAATTCTTTAACCACCATTCTGCAGTCCCAAGTGCCCCCGCCACACCCCCAGCCTAGTCTGCCTCTATCCCAGGTTTTTGTATCTGTGTACATTGCCCAGTTCATGATTCAGGGGATGGTATTTCAGGTTTCAAGGATGAATAAGAATTTTGGCCTTGCTAAAGGAACCCTAAAGCAGGCGTTGGCAGAATTGAGGGTGAGTAAAAAGCAAAACCTAAAGGTTTTCTGGAATGTTATGTCATTTCTAAGTACCTAACCTCCCCGAGGCTAAGCATTTCTGCGTACTCAGCAGAGGTAAGCCAATGCTCTTTGTATCTTCTACTTAATCTGAAGGCCTATAGGGCACTCCAAGTCACTATTCCCACCAGTGACAACTACAGTAGCATCAACATGCTCCAGAAACCTCCTCACCCATCAGTCAATAGAACACAAATCCTGAACACCTATTTGGATTTGCTCTCAAGAAGTTTTTGACCTAAAAATGTGACCTAATACAAGATATTGAAATAGGGAGACAATACTGACTTCCACAAGCATACAGGGATGTATCGGTGATCTTACCTGTCTCACCCATGTTAATAGGCCAAGGAAGTTTCATTTATTCTATTTTATAAGCTTTTGCCTTGACTAGAAGGTAAGCCCACTGAGGACATGAAATTGTATTTATGCTGCTCACTCCTATTTCCCAGTGCCTAGAACTATGCTCACTATTTGTTGAGTAGTAGAGACCCACTATTTGTTGAATGAATGAATGACTTGGATGCCCAGTAATGGGCAGAGACCCTACTGGAAACTGTAGGTTTATGTGGCAAATATGGTAATTTGGCAGAGACCACCATGGCAAAATCCTATGTCCTGTTTTTCTCTGAAAAAGAGGCAAAAGTTTTCTCTTTTGCTCTGTGATTCAGACAGCATGTGAGTCCAACCTGTGGAAGATGAGAGGGAGAAAGCAGCTGGTGAGTTTTGTCAGTTAGACTAGAGGAAGGTGGACGGTAACCCTACGGACTGGGCAGTCACATGACCAAAGCTTAAATGTCAACTCTGCCACTTTGTGACTTTTAAACAATCTGTGCACTTCACTTCTCCATGCTTTTGTCTCCTCATATGTGAAATGGGGCTAGTCTAGTGCCTATTCCAGATTGTCACGGTAGTCCTTCAGTAAGTGATAAACATTACTATCATACTCTCTGCTGGTCTCTGTTGGACAGAGGGTGAACAATACCATTTGTCTTCCATGAAAGAATGCTTTTAACTCTGCTGTCACTCATTATCTCTCACAGCTGAAACTACAAAAGTCAACAGAGTCCTGTGCAAAGCAAGAGAAGGAACTGACCAAGGTAGAGGCAATGTCTCCTCCACCGAGGATGTGTCCAGGATATAAATGGGGTAGAACCCAAAGTTCTCAGGAACAATGGCTTGAGGCATGGGAGGGAAATGAGCAAGAATATTCTGGCAAATGAATTTGATTCACAGGCAGGTGAAAGGAAAGAAAGATCATGCTGAAAGTGCCAGTCTTACCATTTCTTAAGCTCCCTTCTACCTCAAATTCTGTTTTTGAATCCCAAACTAAGTGCCTTGAGATGTGTCACAGGCTGAGGGCAACCTGGGCAAACCATTTACTTTGTTCAAAATTAGACTCAGTCCCTGGATGACGCGATCACCACTGTATGATGTGGTTGTTTTCCCTTCCAGTAAGAAGTTGCTAGGTATCCAGCCAAATGTCCAGTGCACTGGTTAGGGTCCAGGGAGCAGCTTTCACTTGGTTCTGATTCAACTGATCATATTTGTTAATGTTCTTTTCTTTATAGATAGAGAGCGACTACCAATCTGTGTATCAGCTCTGTGAGGACCAGGCCCACTACATAAAGGTACAAGGCCTCGGGGGCAAGTTAAAAGTTGAGGCAAAATTTCTCCAAGGTTGTAGGTTCCTTGGTTTCTCATTAGGCAAAAATCTGCCACTAGGGAAATGACTTTTATTCAAAGCAACAACAGAGCAGATGATTGTTAAGCATTGTTCAGGATTAATTTTGTGCCAGGCTCGGGCACATTCAGCATTTTTCTCAGTCAATTTTTCCAATAACTCTATGGTAATATTCTTACAATCAAGAGGACACTGAGGTTTGAAGGAGTTAGATGACATGCTTTAGGAGCATAACTAGTCAGCATCAGCGCTGGAATTTGAAGACATAGAATCCAAAGTGAGGAGTCCTCTATTCTTATATATCCATCTAGTCTCTAATATCTCTTAATTATTTATTATAACATCTCCCTGCGTGCTTGTTTATGCTTCCACATCAGCCATTTGGGATAGCAGGAGTTTGCCTTTGAAGGATCTTTTATAAATGACACAATGAAATATATGGAAATTCTCAATTATGACTTTTTTTTTTTAATTTCCATGGAAAGAAATACCAGGAAATTCTGAGGCAGATGGAAAAGGAGAAGGAGATGCTGCTGCTTGAAAAAGAAATGTAAGTTTGGAGAAATGATCTCCCTGATGAACTGCGGTGACAGTCTCCAGGCAGGTTTTGACAAGCAGGGTGCTTCTCAGACCAGTCTGTGTCACTATAATTGGTCCCTAACAAGTCACCCCTGCGGGCCTCTGCTCTATGTTCTAAGCAGACAAATCATCAGCATCCAGGCTTCTCTCTTGCCTCTTTCTCTGCAATCAGTGTTTGAAAGCTCTCTTTTTTAGGCTCTTTTCATGTGTCCTCAGTTAAGTGCTATTGCTGAAAACTGAGTGAGCCTGGGGCCTCCCCTGGTGGCGCAGCGGTTGAGCGCTGGGCTGCGAGGCTGCCCGCAGCCTCTGCAGCACTGGTTCATTCCCTGGCCGCCGGCGAGGGTCCCACCAAAAAAAAAAAAATTGACTGAGCCTGGGTTCAGAGAGTAAAAAGAGGCCCAGATGCCCAGAATTACTTGTCCATCGTGTGTACTATCTTCTTTCCCTGGACCTAGTGACCCACCATACTCACTGCAGACCTCAGAGAGGTCTGTGGGACTGTAGACTTCATACTCTTTGCTTTTGTTTATGCTTTTTCATTGCATTATGCACTATGTTATGTAATATACATCAACTGCACATATTTTATATATGTAACTTGGCATACATACATACATTTGAATAACCTAAAAGGTTGCCTTATGGGCTTTTCTCAGTCCATACTTCTTGCAAAGGTAACCACTATTCTGATTTCTGTAGTTTTTATGCTGGTTTTGTCTGTTCTTGAACATTTTATAAATTCAGTATTTTCTCTTTTGTGTCTGGCTTTCACATTGCTGTATACAGTTGTGCCTTGTTTTTTTTCACGACAGCGTAGTATTTCATTACATGCATATGACATGATCTATTCTATTGTTGAACATTTTGGTTATTTCCAGGTTGGGGTTACTCAAGTAAAATTGCTCTAAACACTACTGGGCATGTCTTTTAGTGGACACGGGCATTCATTTCTCTTGACTATATACCAAACATTGGAATTGCTGGTCATAAAATATATATGTCTTTGGCTTCAACTAGACAAAGCCAAACAATTTTCCAAAATGACTATCACTGTCTTCTATAGGTGCTTTAGTTACTCTACATCACCACTTTCACTTGATATTTATAGACTTAATTTTAGCTGTTCAAGCAGAGGTTTAGTGATAATTAATTTTGATTTTAATAATGATTTCATTACTGGCTACTAAAGATAATATATATTTTAATGTTTATTGGAAAATTGCATATTCTTTTTTGTGAATTGTCAGTCTCTTATTAATTGGTAGGAGTCTCTCATATTTTTTATAAGGTCCTTTGTCAGGTATTTATTACAGTATATCCCATGACTCACCCTTTTTTACTCTCTTAATGGAATATTTTGATAAGCAATAGTTCTTTACCTATTTCACCCACTGATCCCCACCCTCTCACCAAATGGGTGAAGTTGGTCAAAAGATATAAACTTCCAGTTATAAGATAAATAAATCCTAGAGATACAATGTGTAACATGGTGACAAGAGAGTAATTTTAAAAGTTCTCATCACAAGAAAAAATTTTAAAATTTTGTAACTATGTGTGGTATTACATGTTAACCAAAATTACTGTGGTTGGGGCCTCCCTGGTGGCACAAGGGGTGAAGCACTGCACTCTGAAGATGTCTGCAGCTTCTGCAGCACGAGTTCAATCCCTGGCCGGCCAGGGAGCTATCCACATGGTGCAGCAGACCTCTCCTGTCTTGCCTGCTGCTCCCCTCAGCAGTGTATTTCAGTCAATCTGCCTGTTCTATTCCCCACTCTGTTTCTGGTGAATCCTCTCATCCCCCGTACTTCTGGCTTGTACCCCAGTTCTTGTATGCATAAATAAATAAATCTTTAAAAAAAAACCCAAAATTACTGTGGTAAACATTTTGCAAAACATACACATATCAAACCATTATGTTGTACACCTAAATTAATGCAATGCTATTTGCTAATTATAATTTTTAAAAAATCAACAGCTACAAAAACCATTGTGTGTCTTATGCCAAGGTGATTCTTCATATACTCAGAGAATGATTTATGTTTAGGGTCTCATTGTTTAGTGTCTACATTCAGAGAGAAAGGCCTTTTTTCTGAAAATTCTGTTTCCATGTGTTGCTATTAACATCATCAAATATTGAATAATAATATTCTGCTGCTTTGGGGAACAAAACTGTATATAAATGAAAGACAAAACTTTGTGTTCAGCATTTCATTCTATATATCTTAGAAAGATATTATGCACATGGCTGAAAGGTCAGTATGGGAGAAATATGCTTATGAGCTAAGATACTTTTGTGAGGGTGGTTGTAGGGGTATTATATATAACACAGATTTTAGAGATGAACTTTAAGGAGTGGTATCTTACCAAAGCCCTTTTGGTGTAAACAACACAACCTTATGGAGGAGAATAAAGACAAACTAACAAAAAAAGCCCTTAATTGTTCTTAATTTTAAGGAAATCAAATCTATCAATTTGTTTGGTTTGGTTTTGGGGTTTTTGTTTAGTGCTTTCCTTAGGTGATGAAACTGATCCCCCATGTTTTCCCCTAGAACTTCTTTTATTAATTTACCCTTTACACTTTGGTTTACATTCATTCATTTGGAAATTTTTTTTTCACTGTGATCTAAGGTAGAGCTCAAGAGGCATTTTTTTTTTTCTGTATAGTCATCTGACTCAACAGGTTATATGGAGACCATGCATTTTCAGAGGTGTCTTGTTTTATAAATAGGTGATCATATATACGTGTGGTCTGTTTCTGGATACTTTATTCTCTACCATTTGTCTTATCTCTATCCTTGTGCCAATACTACACTGTTTTGAGTACTGCAATTGTATAATTTGTCTTGAAATATAGTAGCTTAAGTCCTGCAGGTTTTTATTTCTCAAGATTACCTTGGCTGTTCTTGGTACTTTGAATTTTCACATTAATTTTTATATTTTTCATATTAATTTTAAATTAGCTTTTCAGTCTCCAAAATATATTGCTGAGATTTTTCATATCAATAGATTATGAAATCTATTGATAAAATTGGAGGCTAATTGGTATCTACACAACATTGAGATTTTCAAGCCATGAACATCATTTATGTCCCCATATATTTAGATCTTTTATTTCCCACAGCAATGTTTTGTAGTTTTCTGCATAGTGTTCTTATATAGATTTCATCAGGTATTTGATATTTTACTTATTGGGGTTTTTTAAAAATATTTTTGAAGCTTTTAAAATGGGCCATTTGCTAATTTGATTCTCTGATTGATTACTGCCAGTACATGGATTGGTATAATTGCTGTATATATGCTGAATTTATATTATCAGTTTCACTAATTCACTTGTTCTAGTAAGTTGTTCATAGATTCTTTTAGATTTTTATCCTTGAACGATGGTTGTATTTCTCCCTTTCTAGTCTTTCTAGTTTTTTTTTTTTTTTTTTTTTTTTTTTTTTTTTTTGCCTTACATTTGCTAAGACTTGCTGTCCAATATTGGCTAAAGGGGGTGACAGTGAGCATTCTTGACTCAGTCAACTGAATTTTACTCAAATCAGAGTAAAGTATTTAGTATTTTACTCAACCTTTTTTAACCTTTTTAATAACTTTACTACAATTTTACTCAATTCAGAGTATTTACTATTTTACCATTAAATATGGCATTTAGAGTTCTTATAGTCATCCTTTATCATAATTAAGAAATTTCCCTTTTATTTGGAATTGCTGAGTGGTTTTATTTTAATTATTTTTATCATGGGTAGGTATTAAATGTCATTAAATGTGTTTTCTGAATGTATTGAAGGATCATGTTTTTCCTCATGGAAATATACCAGTACTCCTTCATGTTTAATGACCTCCAACTCCAACTTTCACCCTCTCAGTACTAATGACTACGCCCCTCTTTGCTCAGCTCTTGAAGCATCTTCTGTTTTCTAGGAAATCTTGAGCTATATATGTACAGCCTAGGAACCAGCTATTGCCTTGAAAGGATAATTTATGAAGATATTTGCACTCATTTTTCTTTGTTTCCTTCACCCCTTGGATTGTTTCCTTTCAAGTCACAGTCAGTTTGCTGGTCTTCAACTACAAGTTTTATCTCTCAGTCAATAAATGTTGCCACTGTTTTCGGACCCCATTACCCTCCCCACAAGCTGGCAAATGTCCTTGGGGAGAAGCCTGATGAATGAGGACCTGCTTTTCTCAGGGATTGTATCCCCTCAATTTCTGACTGAATTTTTCAGTGTCTCCCAACAGCTGTTGCACAGTATTTTGTCTAGTTTTTAAAGCTGTATTTAGGTTTTGGCTGTCTGAGACAAAGCACTCCACCTTATCCAGAACCTGGGGTCTGTGCCACTTCTCCCTTCTCTCCTCTATTTGATGATTACAAAACAATATTACCCTGAAAAGAATGAGCAAGCTTTTATGGATCTTACTCTCTGGCAGGGAACAGCTCTAAATTCAGGGAGCAAAACAAATGAATGAACCAGAAGGCACAGAATGTGAATAAAAGTAGGCAGTTTCTGGAAGAGAGCAGACATTTGGTAGCAGGGAATGGCAAGGGGTGATCTCCCCATTTTTATCATTTTCAGCTTGAGGGCAGGCTAAACTTGGTATGTGAGGAGCAATTAAAATACCAGGAGACAACGTACAGTCTTCCTTGGTTAAAAAAAAAGAAGAGGATAGAGTTTGGAGCAGTCAGAATTGCTGAATTAAATAGCAGAGTCAGACATGGGGACTCTCAAACATTCTGTGTAACCTCAGCCCAAATCTCTGCTGACCTGTAGGCCCTGTCCGTGAGCAGCCCAGTCAGGGGCCTGAATGAGACTTGAACTGCCACCAAGAGCCAAATTTTGCTATTCATCATCAGGGTCTTGTCAGAGCTACTCCCCATCAATTGTCTCTTCTTTTGACAGTGGGTCAGATTTTTCTGGTTCTTTCTATGTTGGGCAATTATGCATTATCAAGAACGTTGGAATTAAACCATGGATGTTTGTTGTCTGACTTAGACAGACACCTATCATTAGTCCCTCAGATTATGTTACATTATTCTTGGATCTGATCTTTTTCACCCAGACTCAAGGCCCAGAACAATTCCTCCCAAACAGTGAGACCTGGGTCAATTCTGGTGGAGACCATCCAAAGCAACATTGTAAGTCTGCCCTGATGTAAGTTGGAGTTTCCCTCTATTCCTTCCCTGCCCTAGGTTCTCCCTCCTTGACTCCTATTCCACCCCTCCCTCACCCTCTTAATAACCCTAATGTTAAGAAATCGGGTTTCATTACCTTGTTCCACATCATGGCAGCTAGAAAGTGGCTCAGCCAGGATTCAAACGCTGGCAGCCTGACTCTTAGTCCTGTTAGTCACCCTGCTTGCTGCCTCTCTGTGAGCATGTGACAGGCGCAGCTCTGTGCTTTTATTGCCTCCCATAGGAGCAGACCATCATTAAGAAACAAAAGAGAATCTGTCGGTACTGGTAAGTGGCAGAATCCTGATTTTTACCTGTCTAAGACACGTTCACTCTGTAAAAGTGAATGACTTGAGAAGGGCATAAGAAATAAAGATAAACACATACATCAAGCAGAAAATCAGGCAGCCCCGTATTTCTTCCAATTTTTCCTCACTTCTTAATACCAAACTATATAGGACTTGGTTGTCGGAGAAAGTGACTATATCTGAGAGGTGCAGGATGAAGGCTGCAGGTTGCACTGCACTTTTAATTTCCATTCTTATGACTCTTGGTTTGGCCCCCTTCTGTCTTTCAGAACCTGAACCTCAAAATCTCTGCGAGAATCAGTGCATTATTTTTTTTTAGTTCTCCTACAGATTGAACATTTTGGAAGAAAAGATCATTTGCACACTTTAAGCCCTTTATTCTTAAATTTTTGAAACAAGGAAACTGACCCTAAAATTCTCCATGTGGCATTTTAATGAAAAGCTTCAATTTATGACATTTCAATATAGCTGAAGACTAAAGGCCTTATACCAGTATTCAGGGTAGAATTTCCTTGGGTACACACAAGAAAACACACACACACACATCTTTCACTGTTTTGGGTTGGTCTGTTTTGACATTTGATGTTTAGAAAGAAACAGTTCAAATTATTTTACTTGGATGTTAATGTCAGAGATGGCCTGATCTGATTGCAAATTCTAGAACTGCTACCCTCAAGGAACTGAAGTGGGTTAGCAGTCATGAGACTCACAAGTGTGACTGTGCTGGACATTTTCTGGCAACCTGCAAGGGCACACCTCTATCCAGTACCTGGGTAGTCCTTTGCACCTGACTTTCCTTCATGAACATCTGTCCTGTTGGAGGGTTTACATGTTAGGAGGGTTGTGATGAACTCTTAACTATTACATCAATCTTTTTTTGTTATTTCCTGTCCCCTAACCTCATCTTTTATATCTCCACTGCTTATGGCCTATCATTTATGAATGTAAGTTTCTTCCGTCCTGTTGGAGCCTGGGCTGTGTCTTCCCTATGCTAATGTCGAATGTCTCTCTGCAGGCATCTACGGTGTCTTGTCTTCGTGGTCATGATCTTCATTAGGTTGCTGGGTTATGTCCTTTTCCACCTGCAGTACATAAACCCAGACCTCCTTGTGGATGTCCTGCCCATGGTGATGAGCAGGAATACCTTGAAGAGGCTCAGGGACGTCTTGCTTCCCATCCTCACTCTAGAGGTGGAAGAAGTTCTACCTCACTAGTCTGGGGTTCTTGTGGGGCTTGGAACTGCTGCCTGTGGAGAGGGGGCATGGCAAAAGGGGGAGCCTCCCACTTGAAGCTACTGTTTCTCACATCTGACCTCTTCATTTCAATCTTTTCTTTTGCTTTCTCTCTTTCAAATAAAGAATATGTTTCACCAGAGTTCACTGTGTTGGTCTGGGAATTTGACCTGTGAGTCTTGGGGCATCACTAGACATTCACAGGGCTTACTCTGTGCTGTTGAAAAAAGCTGCATTCAAGGAACAATAAGAAAAGCTCCCCCAGATCATGCTCAGTGAAATAAGCCAGAAAGAAAAAGAAAAATACTGGATATTTTCACTTATAGGAAGAATGTAGGGGATCCAAATAAGGGATCAGGAAAAAAAGTAATTATTATAAAGTAAAAATCAAAATTAATAGGCAACTACAAGCCAGAGACATTCTGCGGGGGGCAGGGGGGGAGGAGGGAGTTGGATCAAAACAGGGGTGGGAAGAGCACAAGGGACCATTCACTACACGGGTGAATTGGTAGTGGGAATTCCATGGGGACTATAACTGAGATGAGAAAGCATACATTGCACAAGAATGAAGAACGATGTAAAAAAATACATAAAATTTTAAAAAGAAAATAAATAATTAAAAAAAGAAAAAAGAAAGAAAAGCTCCCCCAGGAGCTTCTTTGCTTCATACTAAAAAAAGCAAAGGAAAAAAATAAATAAATAAATAAACAAATAAACAAATAAATAAATAAATAAAAGCAAAGGAAAAAAAAATGACATCTTCATCTACTAGATTCTCCACTCACTCCAGGCTGAGCACAGAGGTTATTCCACTGGCAACCGGTAGATGGATGTAAGTTTTGCTCCCATCTAATAGTTTAATTACACACAATCACTACGACAGCCCTTGTATTTTTACATCATGCCGTCTTATATGAGTGGGATGTTCTGAAAAGCTAACATTTTTCACGTTCACAGATGGCTGGTCATTCTCAATGGAGAAGAAAATTATCCTTAAAATTCGAGGGCAATATAAAAGGCATTGTGTGAGATCAGAATGTGCTTGAGAAGTAGCCAACACAATTTTCCACCTACCTGTGTGTCAAATCCTAATCCAAATGTCAGCTTTCCCATAAAGCTTTCCCTCCCAACCTGAGACAGCCTCATTTTCTGTTTTCTCTGGGGTCCTCCCACCCTGCTGCTTCTACCTTGTGGTGTCATTGCTGTGAGCTCTGACCTCAGAACTCCAGACCCCTTCATTTCTGTATCATTCCATATGGCCCCAGCACCATGTCTTTACAAAGCAGACACAGTAAAGAGGAAAGTGTCCTCAGAGAGTTTGTCTTTCTTTTCCAGGGCATCTGGATCCTAGATTCTGTTGTGACAACTCACTCTCTCGTTGGTACAGACAACTGTGCACTGGCCATAGAAAGAGAAGGGAGGTATAGAGATACTGCACAAAACACGAGGTCTTGTGACCAGCTTCACCATAGCAAAGTGGAGGCGGTGTCTTTCTCCTATACATTCAATAGGTCTTTGCTTTCTAGTGACCTGTTGTAATTTTGAGACCATGAATACAGGTTTTAACTGAATTTCACAGGACAGCAGTGTCAGGGTGAAAGGGACATGATGTATGTTTGCTTTGACTGCACACAGGGCCCTGTCCCATGTATTCTTTTGGGCTGGGGTGGGGACAGTGAAAATGGTCTCTGAATAAGGCTCGTAAAAAATGAAAAACTGATAAACAGCACCCTCTTGTGGTCGAATGAAAGCTTTTTTTGCTTCAGCAGGCTTCACCCAAAAGGGCAGGAGTGTGGATGAGCAAGTGGAAGCATAAAAGATGGCTCAGTTATCACTCCTGGACAATTCTCTCTCTGTGAGTTCAATTAGGATTCATTCATTCATTCATTCCTTCAGCATATATTGAAAATTTTCATTAGGCCAAGCACTGCTAGGTGGGGTTCTAGTTATGACAAAACAGACAAAAATCTCTGTCCACATCGTAGTGGGTAGAGGCAGATAATAAAAAGATAACTAAAATATAGAAATATTGGGTGATGCTAAATGATGCAAAAATTAGGGCAGGTGCAGAAGAAGCCTCATTTGTATAAGATAAGAAGAAGTAACTTCTCAATGAGAAGGTGGAATTATGACCAAGATGTGAATGAGATGAAGGATCCCCCTGGATTACGTGGCTGACAGAGAGACAGAGAAGACAGGGCCCTGAGGTCCCTTAGCTGACTTCCTCCCTGTTCACACTTCCATAATGGGCTCTTCATTAAACTCTCCTCACAGGAATCCTCCAAATCAAAGATCAGGTTCCTGCCAGGACCATAGTTGATACACTGGTCACTGCCAGAAGATTCCTGAGGCTGGAGAGTTTGAACATTTGGGTGACTTTAGGTCTTAGAAAATAACTGCATTTGACCAAGAAATATTTATGCAAGGAATGTTATTTCCTAAGTCATCCCATCTTCAATAACACAATCCCTTGTAAGCTCATGGAATTCTAGGCTCTCCTCCTCTGGCCAGCCCTTCCCCACAGACACATCCCTAGACAAATGCAGACCCATCCCAACATCCAAGACTGACTGGGAAAGATGGGTTTGGAAAATATGGACTAAGTAATCCTTCACCTGCTGTCGGGAAGGGAGCAGAGACCTGGAAGCTTGAAGCTATGTTGGAAATCCCTACGATAGAGCTGATTAGCCTTCTCTGCTACCCAAAGAGCCGCCTCCAAGCAGGAAGCTGGCTCCAGAAGGGCCTGGATGGCATTCCAAGTCTGGGAAGCAGAAGAGGAGTTTCCACTGCTTGAAATGAGCAGTGCTGAGCTGGACATCTGACTTTCAGTGGCAGGGGGATGACCACCCCCAAATAGCTATCAGTGTCTGAAATATTTCAGCAAGATAATACAAAGCACCTAGCACAAAGTCTAGGTGGATATTCAATCAACACATGTTTCCTGTCTTTTACATTAGATAAAATTTGCTTTCATCTAGTAGTTAGTCTTAGCTCTCTCTTATAAAGAAACATAGCAAAATGATTGCCTCCTTCATATTTTAGTCATTGAGCATGAACAGCCTTCTGTTCTCCAAATGAATATTCCCAAGTTACATGACATGGCTTCCAGATCTTGTATTATCTTATTTACCCTTTCTGGACAGAATCCTACAGATAAGGTCTGACGGACAAAGTACAGTAGCCCTATTCTCCTTTGATTCTGAACATTATGCCTTTGTTAATGGTTCTTAAGATTTCATTAGCCATTTGGCAGCTGTCTCACATAAAGATGTGAGCTTGGAGCCAACCAAGATTCCTAACCTTTTTGAATATTGAATTATTCTTACTCTACATACCCAATCTGCCCTCTGTTTCATATTTGTACAGATTTAAAAAACAATACTAAATGCAGAAGTTTCCATTTGCTCTATTAAATTTCATCTTGTTGGTTGTGATGCTTTGTTTAAGTCTGTTGCAATTGTTCAAAACTCCGAGTCTTTGAATCAGTCAGTTAGTGAAAATAGAAACCTGGTAGACTAGAAACTGCTGAAGTTCATCTGCAGGGAGGCGGGGTGTGAAATTTCCTTGGGCCTTGTACTAGTTGTTGACCTCAAGCAGCAAGTCAATTCTTCCTTAAGAGTGGTTAGTGATACTTTTTCCCATAAGAGTGTCACAACAGCTTTAAGTTCTTTCTGTGTTCCGAAATGGAATTTCTTTAGCTCTGAGGACTTGAAATCAATTAAACGGATTAGGCACCCTCCTATCTTTTCACCTATCTTTAAGCTTAATTACCTGGTAACTATTTTGGACTACCCTTTTTATCATGCTAAAGATCAATTCCTTGATAGAGAAGGCTGCTCTGGTGAAACAGGACTCTTATCCATGAACACCATACCCCATACCCCAGGGAGTGGCCTGTTCTTTTGATGTCTCCACCTTCCAGACACAGCATTGAAAGTGCCTTTAAAAAATTGCAGTTATAATATTATTCTGCAAACCTTGGTGATGTCTTAAAAAAAGTACTGAGTAAGGAGACAAATCTGGGTCCTGGTCTCAACCTTCTTGCTATTTATCTGATTTTGCAGGAGCCACAGACCCTCTCTGGGCCGGAGGCCTATTTCAGAATGCCTTCTAAGATCATTCATGCTGACATTCTTTGATTCTTTGAAATAGTCCATTTGGGTCCTTGTAGGACAAATAACCCTCTTCCTAATGTCCAATCTTGTCAGGCTTCAGTCTTCCCAGTGATTTTAGCTCTTCCTGGCCTCTCTTCTTCCCAGGGGATCCTTCTGGGAGCCTGGAAGTGCTTCTATTGCTTGTTGGGAGTTGCAGTGAGTGATGCTCCAATTATTCTTAAGAAGAAATAGTGTTTCTTAAGAATTATTTGAGTTTAGGGCCTCCCTGGTGGCGCAGCGGTTGAGCGCTGGGTTGCGAAGCTGCCCGCGGCTTCTGCGGCGCCGGTTCGGTCCCCGGCTGCTCCCCGGCCACCGGAGGAGGGTCCCGCATGCGCGCAGAATTATTTGAGTTTAAAAGCTTAGATCAACAAACACGAGTTCCTACTATGTTTGACGGGGTGCTCAAGAAATAAGCAATGAATCGTGCTCTCAAGGATTCTTGATTTTGTGGCTAATTCCAGCACTGAACATCAAGGTCAGAGGCAACTCTAAAGCTTCTTAGGGGTATAAAGGCTAACTTAGGGAGGCGCAGAACCATCAATAGTCACAACACTTATTCATCATCTACTGTCTTGTAGACATTGTTTCAGATACTTCCATATGGTCTCCGTTTCCTAGTTTGGGGAACTGCCTGACATTATCCAGCTAGCAAATGAGTCAGGGCTCACAGGCCACCTCTGGACTCTCCAGAACACTTGCCATTCAGATGTAATAAAGATTTTCTTAAAGTCACCTTCAAATCAAATATTTATCTTCACATTATTAGAATTATTGAGCCAGTAATTGTTCTCAGATACTTTCCCATTATTTCTTTTCCTCTCTCCTTTGTAAGTCATTTAAAATTTGCTACGGAAATCCAAAAATCATTGAATTCAAGCCCTTCAATTTTACTTGGAAGCTAATCATACCTTTGACAATTTCCATTAAAATAATCAATGCCTTGAATTAATGCTTTACTAAGGCATTACATGTCATTT